GGAGCGCGCGAAGGAGCGGGCGGGCGTCCGGGCGGAGGAGCCGCGCCCCTCTCACGGCCCCCACCCCCCACACCCAGCTTTCGGGCGACCGAGCCAGGCGCCCGATGGGGTCCGACAGAATCGTCGGTGGTTCCGTTTGCGCGTGCACTATGTTGCGAAGGCTCGTCGAAGAAAGAACGCCATAGGCATAAAATTTTGGAGCTCCGCGCGGCTTCCTTGGATCCGCGCTGGGCCCCCCTGGTGGCGCCTCCGGCGCCGCCCCTGGCGCGCTCCGCGCGCCAGTGAGGGGGGTCCAGCGCAGATCCAAGGAATCCGTGCGGAGCGCCAGAAGTCTAATGTTTATGTCGCTGTTTCTTCATCTATCTTCGGTGGTTCCGTTTGCGCCCGCACTATGCTGCGAAGCTGGGTTGCCTGGGGCCATCGGCCGAACGACCCGTGTCGCGGGGCACTTTACCGACACGGTTAGCCGCCACAAAGGTCCCTCGTTGAAGGTTGCCTTGCCAGAGGTGTCCCTGGGCCACGGTGTCCCCAGGATTTCCGCAGAGGCCCCCACGGCCTCCAGGGCACCCCTGGCGAACGCCAGAGGCAGGCTCCTGGGGGCTCCAGGCTGGAGCCAGGAGGTGAGCCTCGAGCAGCCCCCGAGCTCGGCCCTCCCCCCCCGCACGCTCCCCTGAGTGAGGGAGGGAGGCCCGTCGGGAGAACGAGTGAAACCTGCATCGCATCGGGCGCATGCTTGGTCGAGGGCTTCTGTGCTTGGCCTGTCGTACACTCGCGTCCTCGGAGGTAGCTCGGCCCTCGGGCATGATGGCCAGGTGAGCGACGCAAACAAAAAACGGGGTCGTTTTCGCCGGCACTGGCGCGTAAGCTGCCCGCGCAAGCTCGCGCGTAAGCGTCCTCGTCTCCAATAGAGCCTGCCGCCGCTATGTCATCTCGCGTAAGATCCCTTTTTGATCGCAGCTCAAGAGAGACAGAGAGAGAGAGAGAGTGAGAATGAGACAGGGACAGAGGGAGAGAGAGACATAGAGAAGACTCCTCCTCCTCCTCCTCCTCCTCCTCCTCCTCCTCCTTCTCCAGTGGTTCCGCCCAGCCCTCCTCTCGGCCCCCGTCGGGCCCTCGCCTCGCCTCACTCCTCGGGCCCCGGGCCCCCCTCGTCGCCGCTCTGCGGCGTGTGCTTCGGGGGGCGGAGGCTCAACGTGAAGTCGGGCATGTCCCTCCACAGGAGGGATATTCAAAAATAGTCCCAAAAAAGTCTGAGGGCGATGATGATGATGATGATGATGATGATGATGATGATGATGATGATGATGATGATGATGGTGATGGTGATGGTGATGGTGATGGTGATGGTGATGGTGACGGTGATGGTGATGGTGATGATGACGATGATGATGGTGGTGGTGATGTTGATGACGGCCATGGTGGTGGTGGTGGTGATAATGGGTATGATGATGATGTTCATGATGATGATGATGATGATGATGATGATGATGATGATGATGATGATGATGATGATGGTGATGGTGATGGTGATGGTGATGGTGATGGTGATCATGATGATGATGACGATGATGATTGTGATGACGATGACGATGACGATGACGATGACGATGATGATGATGATGATGATGATGGTGATGGTGATGGTGACGGTGATGGTGATGGTGATGATGACGATGACGATGATGATGGTGGTGGTGATGTTGATGACGGCCATGGTGGTGGTGGTGGTGATAATGGGTATGATGATGATGTTCATGGTGATGATGATGATGATGATGATGGTGATGGTGATGGTGATGGTGATGGTGATGGTGATCATGATGATGATGACGATGATGATGGTGATGACGATGACGATGACGATGACGATGATGATGATGATGATGATGATGATGATGGTGGTGGTGATGATGATGATGATGATGATGTTGCGGCTGCTGGTGATGATAACGATGTTGGTGTTGAAGATAAGGATGTGGACGATGTCGGTGACGGTAGCGATGTCGGTGACGATGACGACGATGACGATGACGATGACGATGACGATGTTTATAGCGTTGTTGATGATGTGGTTGTTGTTGTTGCTGCTGATGATGATTACGATGTTCATGGTAGTGGTGATGATGGTGTTGGTGATGAGGAAGAAAAGGAAACGGAGGAGGAGCAGGAGGAGTTGGAGAAGTTGCAGCAGGAAGGAGGGAAAGGCCGCCTCATGTGACACCCGTCGTCTTGGCTATTTGAGATGCTCTCATGGAACTCGTTTGGACCGTCTTGGGGCTGTCTTGGCCTCCTGTGAGGCAGTCTTAGAGCTCTCTTGAGCAGTCTTGGGGCTCTCTTACGCTGTCTTGGGGTTCTCTTGGGCCGCTTTTGGGCATTCTTGGCCGTATGGTGTGTGTCTGGGGGGCCGCTTGGGCGTCGTCTTGAGACGTAGAGCCTTTAAGGACGTCTTGGGTTCCACGGGAGGCCCTCTTGGGCCGTCTCAAGGCCGTTTTGGATGCTTTTAGGGCCATCTTTGGAACTTCTTGGGCTGTCCTGGGGCCGTCGTGGAGACTTCTTGGGCCGTCTTGAGCTGACAGTAGGCCGAAAAGGCGAGAATACGGAAATTAATCAGAAGCCCAAGGGATTTCAATGAGTATGGTTTCTTCCGGTCCTGTTCGGGGTACACCCCTACTCCGCTGGACCTCCCAGGAACCCGCGCAAGTGGCGACAATTACGCAGTTCGCAGCCACACAGGGAGCTGCAAGGTCTCGGCTGGGTCGGCGTACTCCCCTACTCCGCCATGCCTCCCAGAAGCCCACGAAAGTGGCGACAGTTGCGCAGCTGGCAGCCACCCAGGGAGCTGCGAGGTCTCGGCCAGGTGCGCGCATCCTGCATTGTTGGCCGCTCTTGGCGGCATCTTAAGCCATCTTGAAGGCATGATAATGGGGGGAGTTGCACGATCCTCGAGCGGATGCTCGTGAGATGAGAGCTCTAGGATTAAATCGGGCACGCCCCTCCCTCTACAGGAAGAATATTCAAAAGTAGTCAAAAAAGATAATATGGAGACGATGCTTTAATTTGTTCTGTCCATGTTTGAGTATGTTTGACTATTTTCAATTTTTCTTCCGAAATCCGCTTGTAAGGACATGCCCGACCTAAGTCTAGGAGTTAGCAGCCATGCGGGAGGTACACAGTCCTCGAGCGGGCACGCACGGAAGGAGGGGTCGGGCCCCAGCTGCCATGCGGGAGGTGCATCATCCTCGAGCCGGCAAGCGTGGAATGGCGGTTAAGGCATTACAGTGGGGGCCCGTGCCAAAAAACACCTTGCTCGCCTCCAGGGTGCCATGGATTTCTTGTTTTTCGATGGTTTTGCTATGGAAAGCGCGACGCTCCCACACCAAAATCAATGAACGCCCTGGGGTCTCAGGGTTGGGTTTCTTGTGGAAGGGCCCCTACTTCAAGCAGTGGCGAAGCGTCCCGGCTCGCCTTTAGCCCCACCAAACAATGCTCTAAGAACCGTTTGTGGTTCCCACGAAATGTTCTTAGAACATTTCTGGTTGGGACTGTCTTGTTTTGACACATCGGGTTTATGTTCTAAGAACATTGTTTTTGTTCTTAGAACACGCTTGGTTTCTAAGAACAGTTCGTGGTATGACTACAGGAATGCCGGGACGGTCGGTCCCTGCTCAACCTATTGTAGCGGCCATGTTGGGAGTGCACCACCTTCGAGCGGGCCAGGGGGATGCAAGCGGTTGTCTGCAAGCAGAGAGGGGCGGTCCGTTATGTCAGAATTCAAGAGTCCTTACTAGGCAGCCCTCAAACAAATGCTGTTGACAGCGGCGAGATGTTCCGAGTCTCCCACTGGGTTCTTGCTAAGAGTATTGTAAATTAATCGGGCGTTGTGGAAGATACGATATAAACTAAAATGCGACCAAGGGGCGAAGGGTAGGAAGCAAAGAATATTGGACTCTGCCTTCTGGTAGGTAGCACTTTGAAGTCCTCTCGACGTCAAAGGAGCGCACCCCCAAAGCGTTCCCGGGATGTGCAAAAATCTCCGAAGTGGGGGTACCATTAGGAATCGAACCGAAGTCACCCGACTTAGGTCCTCTTGGGCCATTGGAGCCCCCACGGGGCGCCCCGAGACGGTATTGCAGTGCCCCGGAAGGCTCCAAGATAGTCCCCAGAGGGACTAAACCGAAGTCACGCAAGAGGACTCTCGCATGATCTCGGTTGAATCCTCTTGGGCCTCGTAGGGCCATTTCGGGGCCCCCGGGGGCGGCCTTGGAGTGGGGCGGAGGGCATTGCGAGGACCCCGAATGGGCCCCACAAGGACTTCCAGAGGGGCCCGATAGGAACCAAAGGGAAGAAAAACCAGCCGGACCCGAGAATTGGCGTTTATTACATTGCCCTGGGCGTTTGCGAAGCAGCCCTGCCTTGTTCGATTCATTCCGTGGGTACGTTTACTGAACAGCTTCGCGGGTTACGGGTGATTATTGGCGGGTGGATTTTTTGTTTTTTCTAAACATGAACTCACGCAAGAGTCCTCTCGCGCGACCTCGCTTGGACTCACCTCGGGCCCCTCTTGGGGTCACCCTGGCGCCCTCTAAGACTGCGCGGCCCTTGAATGCTCCTCTTGGGCCTCTCTTGCAGCCATCTTGAGGCTGGTATTAAATTGGGCGTGTTCCTGTACAGGGAGAATGTTCACAAAAAGAGTTAAAATTAGTCTGGGGACGATGTTTCGACTATTTGGGCACGGCTTGGCTATTTTTTCTTGTTCGTCCACAGTCCGCCTGCAGGAGGACATGCCTAAGGTTAGAATCCACCGACAGCGGTTTCAGAATCCATCGAGATCTGTTTCGGTATCCACCGATGTAGGTTTCGATGTCCACCAATGCTGGTTTTGAAATCCGCCAGCACCGGTTGCGCATCCGGTTCCGTGCAGGTCGGGACTCGGAAACGGGGCCAGAGCCAGATTCGAAAAAATGCACAAGAGTTCCGGGCCAAAATTCCTTACAGTCCGT